ACGAACGTTAGGCCGGACAACGGTACAGTTTCTCCGATGAAGCGTCGACAAATTAATTTACAGCTTCGTTTACGGAACAATGAAAAAGTCTCACAGACTTGGCAGGTGCGAGATCGCTGCTACGATTGAAATTACTTCTCGTCGACGATTCGTGCAGATAAAAACGACCGGCGAAGAATTATCAAATCGTATTCGCCCAGCCACTCGCGTCTCGTAGAGAAAAAAATAGTTGACCCAACTAAAATTATAGTTTCCTTTGACCCCAGTCATATATTTCTTTTAGAAAAAAATAGCAATGGTATGCATTATCACCACTAACGTTATAATCGAAAATTTAATAAAGAAGAGAATGGTTTCTTGGTCATAATTTATAGTAATTACTTCTCTGTGTGATTATGGTTACAAATGCCCGACATTTTTTTTCAGTGCAGCTAAAATTTTACGAGCGCGGGCGAATAAAGTCTCCTGTTTGATCCGCGGGATATCCGGAGCCGCCGTTATTCGGCGGTGACACGCATAGACGAACGATTGCATCGCGGGCGATCGTCGTCGGAACGTCACTCGGTGCGGCTCGGGCCGGAAGCGCGGCGATCCGAACGTCAAAACGTTTTGAATTCCCGCAGTCGGACGTGACGCATCGCGTTTGGCGCGCGGCCGCGTCACCGCGCCGTCACTTCTATTTCTTCGCTTTTAATTTTTAATCGGATCGAGTTGACATTCCGCACCGCCGTCGCCGTCGCCACCACCGCATCTGTTTGATATCCGATTAGGCGTTATTACGAGAACGCTGAAACGCGCAGAAATATGAATGCCGCGCGGGTCGACTCGCGTGTACGTATTCGCGCACGTCGAATATGAGGAGACAGCTGGACCACACCGCGACTTGTTCGATCGCATATCATAAATACGATCGGCCGCGGCAATTTATTCCACTCGTTTGCATAAAACGGCAACGACGACACCTTCCTGGGCCGGCTTACCGGGCGCGGTTACAATTTAATCCACTCCGTATATCGCCGTAATGCGCAATTGAAACGGGAGGTTCGACTCAATAAAGTTGTCAACGAACGGGGCGCGAGCGGGTTTACGCGCGGGGCTGCCAGCCTCGTGAGCGCCTACATGAAGAAAACTGTGGAGAAAAAGAAGCGGAGAAAAAGGGAGAGAGAGGGGAAAAGGTGGGAGGGAGAAATTGCACCGGTGAGATGCACGCGGACGCGCGTCGCTATATACGCGGTTCGCTCACACAGAGGGCCCGCAATAATAATTTACCACCTCTAATTACATCCACGGTACTTTCCCCCCGAAGTGCACTAATAACCCCGGCGCGGCAGGGGCAGCTGCGCCGTTTTACAAATCTCGCATTTACATTTACGACTCGTAACTTACGAGGTAGCGGCTCGTAAAGGAGCAGAGCGTTAACGATAATTGCAGCCTGGGCTACGCCGGCTACGCGTATATCGTTTCTGATAAATTTTGCCTTTAATTAATCCGCGCCAGCTCGCGCACGCCTTGGCCGCCGCGGCTTTTCTTTCACGTCCACCGCGTCGCGACGCACGTCCCTGCGACAACCCCAGGACCTACCATTGTAACGGAACACCTGGTATCGAGACTGCAACGACTACGACAACATCGGCGGCGGCGGAGGGGACTATCCAAGTTATGCGTGGCTCGTGAGAGCATGGTTTATCAATAATTGCGCTCGCGCGCTTCCGGCAACATAGCGTGACATACGATCGCATTTCGAGGGTGGCAGAGGCGGTGAGATGAATTTTTGAACGAGGCGCGCATCGGAAGAATGCAAGGGAGGGAGGAAGTAAGGAAGGAAGGTAGGAAGGCAGTCAGAAGGGAGAGAAGGAAGAAGAAAGCGAAATGGCATCCCGCGGTGTGTAACGCGACTATCCGCCCCGGAAAGATCGCATTTGCTCGCGAGGTGTCTGGCCTTGAATCGATATCTTTAATGATAAAAAAAAACAGTAGACACCACGCCGCAGACACCACGTGTGCACAGCGCGGCGTCTAGACGAGATTGTAAAGAAGCTGCGGTCGCGCCTCTCGGGTCTCTTAACGCGATCCCTCGTTTCGCACGTTACGAGTGCATCGTTCGTGTTCCTGGCGAGTCCGCTGCTCCTCGTCGCACTCCGCTTGCCCTTGCAAAGTGTCTTCTTCCCGCGCTTCAGATGACACCGTCGTCTGTCAAGCTTCATTGTATCATTGATTGTAAAGGAAACGGCGCGTTCTCGCGCTCTCCCTTTTTGCTTTTCTCTCCCTTCCTCACTCTCTTTACCTTTACATCTACTCATGACTTCTCACCCTGGTCTTTAACGGCGAAGGTACCTTCTATTTACGTCCGATCGTAGATGGCGCGATCGGATCGTTCGGAAGAAAACGCAGACAAGGGGCGAACGTCTTCGCGAAAATACAGTCAGTCGTTTATCCCTGCCGTAGCCCTCTTCATAACATTACTGCATCACTCCCATAATGCAGCAAAAGCACCGCGTCCGCGATAGAGATGTTGATCTAAAGTAACGCGTGGTGGTAGTCGGGGCGGCGAAGTAAAACGGGAAGTTCAGCACGTGGCGTAGCTCGCGCCCTTTTGCAACTATTCCCGGGTACGGAATGCTGACTTCACAAATTGAGCTCCCGGGGAAGTTTTAATTACCAAGATATACAAACCCTTCTTACTTACCTTACTTCCTTCCAGCCTTCGTTCCTTCCTTCCTTAGAAATTTGCTGCGAGCGAAAATCGGCGTTGAGTTTGCTGAAGAGCCCAGGTATTTATAAGAGTCTAGGTTATTAGAATCCTTCCACCCTGTGATATTCTACTAGATTATCTTCTGTGTGTGCGTGCTTTCACGTCAGCACGCTACGCCCCACGCTGCGCTAGCAATCCCCCTAAAAGTTTCACCCCAGAGGGAACCGCGCGACGCGCGGTGTTCACATGCGCGATGACGAAGCGAGAAGGCGGAAGGTGAATGCAGATCTGGCCTGAGGAAGCGTTCATTCCACGATTCAATATCCTCCCTGTGACATGTTACAGGTATCGACCCTTGTGCATCGACAGCTCCTAAATTTCTTAGCACGCTGACTGTCATGCGGGTCACCAGTGGCCTGCACAGTGACACCATCGCGTCTCATTAATTTATATGTAATAAATCTCATCTGAAAAATGCAATCGCATTTGGAACATGGCCAAGCAAACGGATAAAAAATGTCTCGAATTACACTGTATTTTTGGTAACTCAATTATCACAAAAATTGTTTTATACAATTAGCAGAAGCTAACACGGCAATCAACATCCTAAAGGACTCTTCAAGGCAGCGACTAGCTATTTGGATCGCGGAGATAAATATTCCCGACGTCGCTGTGTCGCGTTCGAAAACGTTGCGATACAGCCATCGTGTCGCACGTGTGTCTCCTTGTGGTGTACACGAAAAGGACGACATCGCGGAGCAATGCTCCCAAAAGACACCCTCCTTTCCCTCGCGTTCAACACCCTATCAGACCGATTCAAGTCACATACGCGCTTCTCGTACCTGGCTTTCCGGAAGCACCTGGAGTCGCGCCTGCCTACCTATTCTATCTACCTTACCTACCTCGCACGCACGCGTGTTCCCGAGCACGTGCCGGGGCGTGTGTCTTAATGGGGATTTCGCGAGCGGACGGACATACGCACGTCCATGGTTGACTCATTCGCGAATTACGAGCGAAAGGTGTTGCGCACTCCTAAACAGCAGCCGCCACTGTCGCAGTCGTATGTCGTCTGTCAGGTGGCTTGTGAATCTCCGCGACGAGCGAATTCAATCTCGCTGATCGCGGCCCTGCGTCTCGTAAAATTCGATGGCACGGAACGCGAAAGGGAAAGAGAGGGGGAGGGAGAAAGAGAAAGAGAGAGAGGAGAGAGAACCGCAACCACGTATACGCAGAGATACATATCGACTTCCCGAGATATATTCATATAGATGGGATATACATTGTGGTCGCGTCGAGCGGATCGGTTTCTTTGAGTCGTAACCCTCTCTCGTTCCGGGCCATCGAATCGCGCTCTCGAGATGTAATAACGTACACGTACAACGGCCACTAACGGCGGCCACTCTTCCCCGGCTAATGCGCGCGATGTGTACCAATGGTGCTCGACCGGGCTTAATGGAATTCCATGTTCCATAAAACCGTGAAATTGATACTAAAAGGTAAATATGTACATACTGTAAACGCTCTCGACTGGAAGACGAGTATCGCATTATGTATATTGCGAGACTCGCCGGGAATCACCTGGAACGCGTCGCGGCCGCGTGTGTCCTTAAATATCCCACGTCGCGACCCTGAGAGCTTAATGGGATTTTATACGCCGTGAAACGACGCAATTGATGTTACGTGAAAACGCGAGCGTGCGGCTTGTCCATCGGCCCGCTCTCGATCGCGAGAATCTAGAAATAAGAATTGCCCGGATTGTACACATTGAGATTGTACAATAAAATGATTTTCTATATTCGTATTTTCAAAATACGAATGTAGCTGTGTGCAGGCACGTAGTACTTTGCATAAATGCAGCGCGTACTTATACTAAGAACAAAATATATTTGGTATTTGTAACTATAACTACACAGAGAAATAATGATGGTCAAGAAAACTATTTTTTTTTTATTCAGTACTCTGCTGCTAATGATGCGTGTTATTGCTATCGTTTCACTATAAAAAAATATGGATGGAGCAAAAAGTAACTATAAATTTAACTAAATCGACCATCCTTTTTCTCTCAGTGTGGGATGGCTATTACTCTTCAGCTGGACCACAATATATCGACGCGTGTATCGCTTAATGGAACGTCATACGCTATAAAGCAGTGAAGTCGATACTAGTAGATAAATGTGTGCACGCTACGGGATCCGGAGGATGAATATCGATCGCGTTTCCTCGGAAGCGCGTCGAGTAGTCGCAACAGTTCGCGAATCTTCAAGCGGACGCATCCCGCAATTCCGCGGGATGTCTCTATTTCGTAAATAATTCACCACAATGAATACCAATTCTATTCTTCATATTTTCCACTGGTATTAGACATTAAAAATTAGTAATTAATGTTTTCAAATTTCCTGCCAGAAAAAGTCGTGCTACCTCTTCGCTCATTATATTCTCCCGATACTAAAACTCAAAATTGACAAGAATTCACTATTTGCAGATTTCAAGAAAATATCAAGAGAATATCAAGAAAATATCATAAACGAGGAAGTGGCACGAATTAACTGTACAGCTACCTCTTCTTGTTCAGTATATTTTTCTAATACCAAAATTATAAATCTCCGGAAAAGAATTCAGCTTGTTCGCTTTGATTTGTATCAGAAGGATACAATGAGCGAGGAGATATTAAAAAACTAATCCAAGTAGTACAAGTCAACGACAAATCGGACGGTCAAAAAATTTTTAATTTCAGGATTGTGATGTGCGTATGTAAAATTTTATTATTATATGTTATTAGACCTTTTACACGTACATATACACGTCATTTCAAATTATATTTATAATGTTTTGGAATATAAAAAATGTTCTCCGCGAGCTGCTTTTATATGCTGCAGAGACGCCGAATCGAACGTTACTTTCACGCGCGGGTCCGTAAATCTCGTTGGCGACGTTACGGCATGCCATTTTTATCGGCTGGTGCGGGAGCGAGCGAGCGAATCGGCGAAAGAACGTCGAGTCTTACCGCATAAAACAAAGCGGAATAACGCGCGAGCCGAGGTGCATTATCAAGGCGGATGCCAAGGATTCCGTTGTACAATTCGCGAGCCGGCGGAGGCAACACCGATATTCCCGACGGTAACGGACAGACGGAGAGAAAGCGAACGACGACGAGCGCGGCGCGTAGGTAGCCGTAAACACCGTAGACGAGAGACTTGAAGGGGCGGTAGAGAGGGGGAGGGGTGTCGGAGCGCCAAGCAGGTAGAGAGAGAAAGACAGACAACGATAGATAGACGACGAAGGGAGAAAGCCAGAGAGAGAGAGAAAGAGAGAGAAGAGGGAATGAAGAGGAAGAGGAAGAAGAGACGAGGGAGAGGGTAGGGTGCTGCGAGAGGCTCCTGAAATTCCGACGTCGTCGGCCGCTTCTCGGATTCCTTTGTTTGGTCTACGCTTCGCAGGGAGAGACGGATAAGAAACGACGTGCTGGAAGGCCGGCAGAGTTTCTCGACTCGTTGTCGGTTGGTGGTCCCCGCCGCGGAGACGAATGGTATGCGAGAACCGGTGGTCCCCGGCCCAGAGGGGTGAGCGGGAGAAGAGGCGCAGAGGAGAAGAGGAGGGTAAAACGGGACCCGACAGGCCCGACGTCGGCCGTGGCGCGGCGGAGTGGGCCGCCGCGTCGAAACTGTGGGGGTCTTGTGAATGAATCTACCTGCCTCCTTCTCTTTCTCGCTTGCCCGGCTTCGAGCCCCCTCTCTCGTCTCCGCCAGGTACGAGACGATGCGGCGCTTTTAGCGAGCACTCCGATTTCAAACTGGAATTCTTTCGCCTCTCCTTCGACCTTTCTCTCTCTCTCTCTCTCTCTCTCTCTCTCTCTCTCTCTCTCTCTCTCTCTCTCTCTTTCTCTCTACTCTTTCTTAACATACCTCCTCCTTCATCTCCTCTTCCTCCTCATCTTCGTTCTCATCCTACTCGCATACAGCTTTCTTCCCGAGTAGCTCTCCTTTTTCTCCCTTTCTTTCGTCGTTCCATCGCCTCCTCGGGCGCTTCTCGGTATTGCGTTCGCAGGATGATCGAAGATGGGTCACGGAGATGAGACAAACCGCCCGCATGGCAAGACCGTTCGAGAGACGTTACACGCCTCGTTGTAACAATGTTTTCTCCAAGTGCATGATGTTCAGTCCCGTCCCTTTACCTGCGAACGCGAGGCAACTGTCAACGAGTCCTCCGTCGCAGCGCGCGCGTTGACCTCAACTCGTTTTATAGCAACGAATTCGTCGTCGTGTTCTGGTTAAGTCGGAAGTTCCCCGTCCAGAGGAAATCTCGCGGGACCCGAATATCAAAAACCCGAAAATTTCATCTTTACTGCTCGTTTGCTGAATTATACTCGCGCGGGAACTCGTTTCTGCGTTAGAGTACGAGCGCCATTCTCACGCGAGGCATTATTGACTTTTTGCTCGCCGCGCTCAAGTGGTCCTCTCTTCCTAACTAAAAAGGTGAAGTTGGGTAGGAGTGCCCTCCTCGGGTTTAATGCCGCGGTGATCTTCTGAATGAATATACCTGCGCCCTCGTCCGTGCCGCGTCTTCCTTTTGCACGGCTCCTCGCGGCGGCTCTTTTGGTACACGCTCCTATTTCAGACCGGAATCCCTCGGCCCATCCGCCGCTTTGCTTTTCCTACCTACCTACCTATCTATCTACCTACCTACCTACCTACCTACCTACCTACCTACCTACCTACCTACCTTATACCTCCCTCCTTACCTCGTTGTTTTTTCCCGCCGAACATCGGAATACTTCTCGGTATTCCGTTGCGGAGGCGATCAAGGGCAAGGGCCCGGCCGAGAGGCCCGCGTGGGCAGGGTCAGTACGAACGTGTGAACGCAGCCAGAGGGAGATCGCAGAAAGCACCTGTTGGCTGGTGCCCGTCTCTCGCCTCGTCTCGTAAATTTCTCGCCGATGAACACTTCACCGGCGAACGTTGTTGTGGCGCTCGCCGTGATACAGGTCGTCCCAAAAGCGCGAGTCCTTTGTCCTGACGAGAGAGATACTTCAGCGCGTACGCTGAAACAGAAAATCAGAAGGAAAAAATTAAATCTCAGGATTATGCAAATGTGTCGATGCAGATATGCTGCAGATTGCAGTCGAATCAAAACTAGTAAAAGCCAAATCGGGTTTATATATTAATTAGCAAATTTAGTCGACAGCAAAAAGTTAGTGAAACATTATATTGTATAACACTATGGCGTAAATGCTTTTTAACTATCAAATAGTTGGTTCAACTGCATGATACGAATAGCTCCACCTCTGACAAAAGGTTAAACAAGTCAGACGATTGATTATTGATATAACGCGTTGCTTTAGCTTTATGATTGCCTCATTGTGTGTGTATTGAATTTAACTTTGAGTTTATTTTATACAAATGAGAAATCAAAACAGCCACAACAATTTTGCTGAAACAAGACAGTCAGTTTACACAACTCCGGAATCGAGTTTCGCTCAGTCGATTCGTTTGGCTGTTTTTACGATGCAACTACGCGAGGTCTGTTTTCCCTGGAGAGTTTTCGGCCGAGAAATTATTTCTTGCAAATTCTTCGACGGACCACGTTGAATCCCCGGACGATTATAATTCCGGAAGGGTAAGGAAGATACGAGGTACAAGATCTCGTTACCCGTTCCCACTCCTCGCGCGCTCAAGCCGTTCGCCGCGCCGCAGTTTCGCTTCGGAAAAAAATCAACCGGAGGTCTTCGGTCGGAGAGAATCCGCCATTAAAATTAAAGGCGGCCCCTCTGGGACACGGTGCGCGCGCGTACGCGCCGTTATTTATAATTCCCGAGCTAATCCGCGGGGCCACGTACCGCTGCCGATGGTCCCGCGACTTCGCCGGCTCGCTCGCGTGACGAAACGACATTAGAGATTCGTCGATTACTCGTTTCGTTGTTTTCTTCCTTTCTTCCCTCTTCCTCTTTTTTTCCTCTCCTCTCCTCCGACGAATCTAACCGTGTACGCCGAGTCCGAGGTCGCAAACCTCGTTATCCTGTACACGATAAATTTTCCGAGTAGATCTACGTTTCCTGCCGATACGTGAGAACGAGTTCTGGGACCGTTTGGCAAGCTCGCCCCGCGGCGCCTCTCTTTTCTTTTGGCCGCGCGCTTGACGGCGCTCGACCTAATCTCCATTTCCCAGTGTTACCAGCGTGTCCCTTTCGAGTTCGTGAATTATGGACTGGCACGTAAAGCCCGTGTGTACACGCGGGCGGACCTAACTAAATGGTAATCGACGACGATTTATCTTCAGCCACGGTCGCGCCTACCCCGTCGCTCCGACTCGGTATTTCCATGTCAGTGTTCGATCCGTGTAAGAGGCACCTGCCACTTGTTGAACCGTCGGAAAACGAAGTAAGCGTTTAGCCGGTAATGGGGAAAAAATGGAGGAGTCGACGAGGAGTCGAAGACGAGCAGCCGCCGTGCATAATCCGGAAGTCAAGGGTTTCGAGGCCCTCGAGGAAAGTGTAGGCGGATATAAACAACCTCCGCTTCGTGAGAGGGCCGCTCCGATATCGTCCCAATTCGCGACGATTCACCGAACGGAGGCTGTAAAGAGCGAACGAATCGCGAGAATCGTCTCCGTGCGACACCTAGTTCCGACACGTCGTGACGACGTCTGCTCGCGTCCGCCACGAGTGATTCCCGAATTCCAATTTAATCGCTAGTTTCGCCTCACCTCGGCGATTCCCAATCGATTTCGCCTCTCCTCCGGGCGCCGCCACTCGAGAGTGACTAGCGCGAACTTTCGTCACGAAGAGGCTATTCTCTAACGATCCCTCCTTCGCGAGGAGGAAGACGGAGGAAAGGGAGCACGCGTGAGGAGGCGGAAGGGAGGGATGGAGAAAGGAGGAAGCATCACCCTATTAAACAAACTCCGAGTCTTATTAAAATTTCCCGACCGACTCCCGGCCGTCTCTTGCGTCTACCTGGCGGCAACACCGGAGCGCGCGCGGGACACTCGTCGCTCGTCCGGAGAACTCCGGACGTTTAATTCCCGATAATTGCTACCACGGTCACGGACTCTCCCGAGCGCGAAGAGGGGAGGGTGGAGAAGGGTGGAGGACTCGACTTCAAATTACTGTGACTTCGTGCCTGCTCGCGTCGCGCTCCTCTCACCGTAATGGTACCGCCGTGGCCGCACCCGTCGACCCCGCCGAGGAGGACACCCCGACTTGACACCACCGAAAGCTTTCCGTACGTTTCCCTGGACGCCGACGACACGTCGTCGCGTACACGCCCGTCTAAGCCTCGTTTTCGTTCACGAAAACGTTTAGGTTTCTCGTTACGTTTACGGAAAGGCGACGGCAATATACAAAGCCACCTCTTTTCTCGTTTGCGCGAGGCCGGAAAATTTATGGGCGGTTTATGCTCGGGCTTCGGGAAATATTGTTTCTTCCAGTCGAGTTAGCGCAGCGGCGGCGGCGGCGGCGGCGGCAGAGGAGAAGGTGGAGTCGCCCTCACAGCAACGTGAAAAATTGCCTACGAGCGAGCTCATTCTTCCGCTATGCGATCTCGCGAAACGAAAACGAGCCGTTGTTACGGAGACCCAATGGACCCTTCGAGAACCGCCGTCCCTTCTTCCGACTTCCTTCTGGAGTGTCGTCGCCGACGTCGTGGTTTCTCTCTCTCTTTCTCTCTCTCCCCCCTCTTTTTCTTCTGTGCAAGCATTTCGACAAAGCGTACACACTCGTACGAGAAGAGGAAATGACAACGCGGGTGAACGTGCGATTCGTTTGCACGTAAATGCCCGTTCTCTCGCGCGTAATTCGCTATTTGCAGTATTAACGCACCTCGCTCCCGGAACGCGGAGCCGCTCGCGCGAAAAGCGAGCGTTTGTGAGCGCGCTCCACGAACGGCGAGCGCGAATTCGAGAGCCGGTCGGTCGCGGAGAGCGCGCGCGTATTTCCTCTCTCCGCGCGAATGCGTCCTCTTGCTCGAGCGAATGATATCAAACGCAGCGTGGTCGTCCGCTGTTTGAAACGAGAGACTCGCGGGCGCTGTCGTGAGGCGCGCGGAACGCCTGTGTGTTAAGTTTAATAATGTAAAACAACGCGCGTCGAGATACACGACGGCGAATATGTCGGCAGACGTGTGATCGATGTGTTTACCTCGGCCTCGAGAGGAATTCTGCCTTGTAATATGCCACGCTAAATCTCCGATGTGTTCGCGAAGTGAAGTCCGCCGTCGCCGCCGCCGAGAGCCGGGCAAAAGAGCGGCGGCCCCGCGCCACGAGTTACGCGTGCCTTTACGACGGCGGATTTTCAATGAGTAGTTGAAGGCTCATTAAAATGCAAGCAGCCACGTTTCACCGGACGATCGAGCAGCCGTGTACGCGTACACGCGTACATTGGACGGCCCAATAATTATCAGTTCCACGTCCGACGACGTAACGATCTTTTCTCGAGCGGCGCGTTTCCCTCTCTGTGCCATGCTGTCCAGCTTTTTTTTCTATCTCTCTCTCTCTCTCTCTCTCTCTCTCTCTCTCTCTCTCTCTCTCTCTCTTTCTCCTTCCCCCCCATCTCGGGTCTCTCTCAGCAGCTCGCCGTGCTTTCCCGTTTATCGGCTAACGACCAAGAGAGAAAGGAAGAGAGAGATACACGATAGAAATACTTCTTTCTCGTCGAAGAATATGTTGCGAGTTACGGACAGAAACTACTCAATACTTCGGAACCAACAATAGAGAAACGCGCTATAGAAAAAGCAAGGAAAGTTTAACGACTTGCAAATTCTGAGAAGTTCTGAGAATTTCTGAAACTTGGAAGGAATATAATAGAGGTGAGCCTAGTGATAAAGCTATTTTTGCTCTCATGTAAGAAACGGTTCTAGAAGAGATCCCTTCCAGGGAAAGAGTTCTTTCATATTTTTTGCTAATATATCCTCGAGATCGTATAAGAGACACTGGGAAAATGTTGAATGGAAAACTCAATAGAATTTTAGAAAAAAGAAATTATCAGAAACAAATTTTGCTTTCATAAAACTGTTTTCATTATCCCTTTGAATTTAGGAATGATCTCTTATTGTTATACTCCTGTACTCGCAACGCTCTTCCTCGTCTCGAAACGTTTCCCGCCTGTCTGTCCTTTCCGTTCGCTTCGGACGCGATCTCGCGTTGCTCGCGCGTAACCGCAGCTGAATCGCGATTATTCTCATTACGCGAGCCATCGTCGGAATCGTCAAATCGTAAGCGTTGTTTACAGGACGTGACGTAATGCGGCGCGACGTGAGGATGCCATTATTTCCGGGCGTTATTAGCAGTTACCTTCGTGCTTCCCCTTTTCCTCTCTCTTCTTCTTTTTCTTCTTTTTTTTTCCTTTCTGGTGATTCACTGCGACAGGATGCATCGTCTTGTCAACGGCTAACGGTAGTGCCGACGCGCGCCAGAGACGCTCGTTCGCTTCCTCTCTGCCTCTGCTGCGCACCTCTCCGCAATTTCCGCCTGGAGAATCACTACTGATTATCATTCCGGTATATTGCCGGTCGCCTCGATGTCGGTCGACAATGAGAGGAAAATAATTCAGCGATGGGCGATAATTAAGTGCTGAAACGTGTATGCCGTCCAGAAGCTCGTTTCCTCGGCCGCCGTGCTATCAAAGTGCCGTTCGTCCTGGCGCACCAGAACACCTTGGGACCTTATTCTGAGCCTGCATATTCGACATCTAACCGGTTGCGTCTTTTCTTTTTCTTATACTTAAGATGTCACAGAACGTTGTTTCAACTTGATAATCAGAAACGCATATTTCCGGGTTCAACATACATCCAAAATACGGATCTCTGGAGTTTAATCTCGGGCGCGCAACACACGCTAAATACATCTTTTTAATTCCAAGTTCCATTTTTCATGCACAAGCATCCGGTGTTTTTCAGATTGAGAGTGAGAAAGGTATATTCACCGTCCGATATGCGTGTCCAAAACACGACCTGATCTGTCAAGATCAGTCTCCCGAGTCCGCCGACATATCGCTCCACTGCGGTCCGAGTCGAGCTGCGCGAGTGCTATTCTCCTTCTTTCTTTCTC